TTATTACAGTATATAATGCTGGTGTATTTGTAAACTGCAGTTATCTTCATAGCAGTGTATGGTATTGTTAATAACTGTACGAGATAGGCTAGGCTAGATAACAGCCTCTGTCACATTTATGCTAGTAACATTCATGTCAGAGAACTAAAGAATGGTAGTTCTCATTTTCTGTAGGCCTTTACTATTTGTCTTGAGTCCTAGTGCCCTGCTCAGTATTTTCTTATGAAAAACCTTCAAAATTTTAAAGTAAGTTCACCATAGGTAAGTGGGAATAGCAGCACAAGCACACTTTAATAGTTCTGATATGCAGACTTGAGTTGGATCTACTATGAACTGCCCTGACTTTCCTTTGTAGGAAAAAGAAGAAATGACATTTAGAGTAGTGACAGAGCAAACAAAAGTTTCTTCATTCAAGTGCTTACTTTTTTTCCCATGGAGTACTCCTGAAGGTTATGAAGAATAGAAAAACACTTAAGCTTCCCTGTGTGATTTGTCTTAAGGACTTGAACCAGTAATTTTTTAAGCAGATCCTGCTCTGAAGCTTGTTACATGAATACCTCAGGCTTGAGAACTGTATAGCAGGAAGGATTTTGTGGCAATACAGTCAGATATGACTCATGAGACCTGAGCCTGGCTATGGACTTCCTCAGTAACTGTAGCCAAGTAAATCTTTATTCATGTAAACTGTTCTTGCTTGTTTAGAATTTAAGAGCTAGTATCAGTTGGCTTTATGCAGAAAGATCTGGGATGGTTTAATGCTTGCATTTGCCTTTATTTTGGCAGGTGCCTCAGAACAAAGCTTAGGAGGCATACAGAATGGGTGTTTGGGGATGCTGAAGTCCTGTTTCTTGCAGCTTATTCTTTCATGTAATTATATCTTACGAGGAGTAGCTGAGGGAACTTGAGTTGTTTAGTCTGGAGGAGACTGAGGGGAGACCTCATTGCCCTCTACAACTGTGTGAAAGGAGGTTGCAGAGAACTGGGGAGATGAGCCTCTTAATCAAGGACTAAGTGATAGGACAAAAGCGAATGGCCTCAAGTTGCACCAGGGAAGGTTTAGACTAGATATTAGGAAGCATTTCTTTACAGAAGGGGTTGTTAGGCATTGGAATGGAGCTTCCCAGGGAGGTGGAGTCCCCATCCCTGGAGGTGTTTTAAGAGTAGGGTTGACATAGTGCTGAGGAGTATGGTGTAGTTCGGAGCTGTTAGTGTTGGGTTGATGGTTGGACTGGATGATCTTTGGGGTCTTTTCCAACCTAGACAACTCTGTGATTAAGCTGTTTAGGGTTTTTTTTAAATGCTGTCTTTAGAAGGAGCCCTTGGTGTGTGCACAGCCTGCCTCTGCCACAGACTCTTACAGTCTTTGCAATTCACCTTTGAAAATGTTGTAAAGGTTTTTAGGTGCTCCCATTCACAATGTCATGTCAGTCTGGGTTGTGTTCCCCAGTGGCCTCTCAATTTATGTATGTGTGCTGCCTGAGGCTGTTGCAGAGTGGAGGTGTTAGGAAAAAGCAGCTGAAGTTCTGTAATATGCTTTAGATCCTCTGGGTAGATAGTGAATTCCTGCTTTGTTCCTGCTTCCCTGCATGACTAAAACATTCCTTTTTCTCACCTTATATTGGTTGTGAAAGGGCAGTAGGACATACCCTGGCCTCAGCACAGGTCCTTAACTTGTTACAGCTGAAAATCCCTATTTATCTTCCAGTGTCTTGTCAGGTGGCTGGCTAAGAACTGTACCACTTTATAATTGCTTCTCAGCTTAAGGACGAAAATGAACAGTAGGCTAGAAACAGGGAACTTCAGAGAAAATGAGATCTAAATGAAATGAGTAGAGATCTACAGGAAGAAAGTGAAGAGAAATGGATAAACTTCCAGTAAGTGTAAGGAGAGGCTTAAATGAGTATGAGGATGTTAGAATAAAGGACAGACCTGGAAAGTGGTGAATAATGCTTTGTAGTCTCTGCTAGATGCAGCCACAGAAAACAATAAAGGCATTTATAGCAAGAGGAAAACCAAGGAAGTTTGTCCATAGCTCAGTGGGGAGGAGAATGTTAACATGATACTGAAAAATTGCATACTGAAGTCTGCCAAGTTATCACTGAAGATGAAATGTGAACCCATTCCTGGTTGAGAAGAAGGTTAATCAACAAGAAATTCTTGTCTTGTGTTAAGAACAGGTCACATATGATTCCAGTGTTTCATTTGCTCTTGGTAAAATGCATATTAGAGAACTTGCCTTTCATGTTCAGTTAATACAGGGTTGTGATGATGGGGCTTGTCTTTACAAATAAAGCAGAGGAAAAGGGTGGGGAAATGATGGGTCTGGTTTCAGTTGCCAAAAAATACCGAAAATGGGCAATTAGTAAGTACTATAAGATGGTAAATAGGTAATGTGCATCTGTCAAAAACACATCATGTATCACTTGCCCAACTTAATTTTGAAGCAGTATTTAGCCTTGTTAGTGGATATTTCTTATCTTTAAGCAACTCCTCTAACAGAACCACCTGATCAGCTGGCTTTTTTGGTAACATTTTTTGGTAGCACAGTGAGCTGAGTATAATCCTAGACCTGATGTTTCGATGGCATGGTCTATTAACTATAGCTAGTGCAGAAGTGTGCATGCGGTGGATGGCCCAGAAAAGTGTTTAAAGGTTTTTAGCTAGACCTTAAGAAAACATTTCCCTTCCCTGTCTCAACAATGAGGTATAGATTTTCAAATATATTAACAGTTATTATGCAAAGAAAGGGAATATGTAAACCTGCCTTTGTAAAGGGAAGAGAAGTGATGGTCTTAAATCACACTAGATGTTTAGGTTACAGATGGGGGGGGTAAAGATAGTTGTGTAGTGAAGGAAGTTGTGTATGGAAGTGTGGAATCAGTAGTACTGCAAGCTTTTAAGATGAGTTTTGGCAAGTCATTCTGACTGCATGGCATGGAATTGCTTTTTACTTCTCCCAAAGGAGCTTCAGAGAGAGATCAGGCAGAGGAATGCTATCATGGCAGGAAAAACTTCGTTAGCTAATTCTTGTACACTGGCTTTTTGTGTAATTTTTATTTTTGGACAGTCTTTGATTGTTGTAGATGCATGTCCCCCACCACATGGCTAAAGCAGGACCTGGCAGATGGGTGGCTGGGAACAGGCATATAAGCCTGACAGTGATGTGGCACTTTTGCTACCTAAAGCAGATTAATATCTATCTTGCATATAGTAGTAATAATGTAGCAAATGCAGTTTGAAGAGAAGGGGCCTAAACTAGAAGCCTTGATGTCCTGTATTGGGTTTATTTGGCAAGGTTTTGTTAGCAGGGGGGCTACAGAGGTGGCTTGTGTAAGAAGATGACAGAAGCTGCCCCCATATCTGACAGAGGCACTTCTTTCTGGAGTCACGACAGACCTGCTGGTGACCAAAGCTAAGCTAAACAGCAATGATGGATAACATACATAAGAAGGGTCAAAAATTGCTGCACAGCAGCTGGAAGAACAGGGGAGGAAGAATATGTGAAAGAAACAACTCTGCAGACACTAAGGTCAGTGAAGGAGGGGGAGGAAGAGCTCCAGGTGGTGGAGCAGAGATTCCCTTGCAGCCTGTGGTGAAAACCATTGTGAGGCAGGCTATGCCTGTGGAGGTCCAAGGTGAAGCAGATACCCAGCTGCAGCTTGTGGAGGATCCCATGCTGGAGCAGGTGGATATTCCCTAAGGAAGTTGTGACTATGTGGGAAGCCAGTACTGGAGCACACTGCTGGCAGGACCTGTGGCCCTGTGGAGTGGAGCCCATGCTGAAGCAGGTTTTCTGGCAATACTTCTGACCCCTTGGGGGGCCCACACTGGAACAATCTCTTCCTGAAGGACTGCACCGTGTGGAAGGGACCCATGCTGGAGCAGTTCTTGAAGAACTGCAGCCTGTGAGAAGGACTCTTGTGGGAGTTTGTGGAGGTCTGCCTTCTATTGGGAGGGTCTCCATGCTGGAACATGTGAAGAGTGTGAGGAGGAAGGAGTGGCAGAGACAATGTGTGATGGACCGCAACCTGCATTCCCCATTCCTCAGTACTGCTCAGGGGAAGAAGGTAGAAAAAACTGGGACTGAAATTGAGCCTGGGAGGGAAGGAGGGGTGAGGGAAAGGTGCTTATAGTTTTGTTCTTGTTATTATTGTACTCTGATTTAGACTGGCAGTAGATTAATTTCCTCAAGACAAGTCTGTTTTGTCTGTGATGGCAATTGCTGAGTTACCTCCTTGTCCTTGTTGTACTCAGTTGGATGTTTGCCAAGGAGTATGTTTGAACTGACAGTGTCAGGGGCAGAAGGCAGATTAGATAGTTGTGTTGTTCACTGTACTTTCCTTACCAGCTTCATTAAAATACCAGTAAAAGCTTTTTAGTGTTTAAGGCATGTGAACTGAAAGTTAAATGTGTTTGAGTGGTGATACTGGAAAGGATTGCATGTTGCCCCATTATCTGGACAATTCTGTCTTACATGGTGAAAATAGTTGAGGCAGAGGGTGCCAGTTTTAGTTCCCGCTCTTCCTTGTCATTTTGCTGTAGTCTGCTTTTATGGTTCTGTCCTGGTGCTTTTTTGCTATGATGTAATGTGCTCCTTCCATTTAAAATCAGTACTGATAACAATAACCTTAATTTTTACCTTTTTTGAAATTAAAAAACATACATATAGGGATATCTTCCTGACTGTGTCCAGTAGTCAATTTGCTAAAGGATTTGTATCAAAGTATGTAGTTTTGGTCAATGTTTGTATGGAACTTTTGTGACAATTTTATTTAATAAGAATGTATTGAACATCTTTTATGTTTCAGAAGACTGATGTGTTTTGTGATGAGAGTGCATGTTCATTATTTGATAGCTACATAAACCAATTTAGAATCTGGGATGAATTTAAGACAATATAGACCAGGTTTTCTAATTACACTGTGTTAGAGTGTCAAAATATTTTGAGGTATTGATCATGTTGCTAATCTTAGCTACTCTTACACTCTTTTCTATCACAGCCCCATGACTTTGACGAATGCAGATTTGATATTAGCGTAAACGATAGTGTTTGGTACCTCCGAGCTCAGGACCCAGACCACAGACAACAGTGGGTAGATGCAATAGAACAACACAAGGTATGTGTATTTTCTGACTTTCTCTCATCAGATCTGGTGATGCTTGCAGAAGGTTATAAGCTTCCCTGTACAGTCATTAAGTACTCAAGGTATTTGACAGATAAAAGCTGCAAGATTGAAGCTATCTGTTCCATATGTTTCAAAGAATTGATTTGCTTGTTCATAAATAGTTTAGAGAACTGGGAGCTGACAACTGTGAACATTTCTTGAGGTCTCTAGTTTGAAAAAGAAAAAGCTTGCAATATGTTTGAGTGACTTTTTAATTGTTTTGCTCATCCTCTCACTGATTATTGGATTGTTTTATATCTGTCCTAGATGTTAAACTTGTTTGTCTTAGAGTCAATTCTCTTAGGTTATCATTCTGGTTTTAGGCTCCTCTCTTTCATCATTTGGCTGCTTTTACTGCTTTTACTTTTGTCTCCTTGTCTTTTAAGACCCTACTCTTCATCAGCATTTTGGTTCTGCTTTCCTGATCTATTCTTTGCCTTCAAATGGAATCAGTTAATTTCACTTTACCTGAAGGGCTTGAAGGTCAGGTATTTTTAAAGTAAGTAGCATACAAAACATCTGTTACGCTTTCAGGTACTGCCCCAAGATGTTGGGTTTACCTACAGCAGCTAGCACAATGCAAATTCTGCATCTGAGTTGTACAGGCATTAGAGGAATACAAATTAAAATAGACATCTAAGTAGCTATGTATTTTTACCTTGAGCTTCTTGAAGTATTCCTTGTATAAGCACTATGTGTAATTATTGCCTTTTATTGGGCAATCCTTACAATAAGCAGTACATGCTCTTAAATTTAAGTGCTGACCTTTTGATAATTGTTCTCTAAAGAAAAAAAAATCATCTCAATTAGAATATTTGTCCATTTATATCTTGGCATTTTGCCTTCACTTTGTTACAGAGGTAACATTAAAGCATAAAAAATCAAGTTTCAAACCAGTTTTTTTTTTTTCTGTAGTCTAGTGAAAAAATGCAGAGTTAATCATGAAGTATTCTTGAGACAAAAACTGCCATTTGTTTCTATTGAAATACCTGAGAGAAATGTCTCAAGAGGATACACTGAACAAGTTACTGGATTACACATCCATAGAGCTGGCATTTCAAAAACTGTTTTACAGGTATGGGGGTCTTCAGGTATGGAGTTGTGGGGACATGGAACTTGATAACCATGGGCTAAAATTCAGAGTATGCTTGGTGAACAATTTAGCTGGTGACATGCAATTTAATCTGAAGTCTGGACAAACAGAAATGTAGGCTGGGTCATTGCATGCTACCATGCAGGAATGAAGGAGGAAAAACCACAAATCCTGTCTTAAACTCTACTCTGCACAACCACAAAGGGTAGTCTTTTTCATGCTGTTCTTTTCCCTCTTTTAAGGCTGTCCCTAAGACTTGCTGAGTTCAGAGATGACAATTTTATGGAACTGTCTATTTATAATATTGAAATACTGAGTAGTAATTTAGACTTTGCCATTGTGTGTGTAAATTTGTAATTGTTTTTCTGTGTAATTTACAAAACTCCCCACTTATATTTATCGACACTGAATTGTCTTTCTGTATTATTGCCAAGATCCTGTCATGAAGTACCTATCTGCTTTTATTTTTCTGTGTAGTATTACTGGTAAACTTAAGTCATCTTACTCAGGCTCCTTTTCAGATTGTTAATGAGTGAGGGGCATGAATTCTAGCATTCCAAAAGTGACCTCACTTTGTGAAGAAGCCTGATTAATTATGCAGTTGAGTTTTTCCACTTAAAAAAAAAGAATACAGATTTTTAGACAGTTTAAACTTCCATGTTTTGCAATAATTTGGTAGTTCTTTAAAAAAAAAAGTTGTTAAATTATACTGGATCTCTGTATTCACATTTAAGGAGTGGAATTAGAGGTTTCTTGGATAATTCCACTACCCATGTTTTTCAGTATTTACTTAGGATTGGGATAGGGGTAATGAGTGCTTTTTTCAGTATTTTATTAATGTTATCTTCTTGCTTATTGCTACAAGAGAGTTGTGTTTTGGAATGTTACACAAACTGAAAAAAAAGTGTCTGCAAGTAGAAAGTGGAAATAAAACTCTTTATATGCTGAACTGAGAAGAAATAGTTCAGTTTGCATCTTGCTGTCCTAACATGATAACACTGGACTTGACTCTTCTGATTCTGGCTTTTTCAGTATGTGTAGTTTGCAGTTTCATGGCTATTCAACATTTTTCAGTTTCTTGGATACTGATTTTTACTCTAGTGTTTACAGTGTTCAAGACAAATAGCAGTTGTTCCCATTCTTAAATGGAGAAGCAAATATTATGGCACCTCACTTGTAAATAAATCATAAAACCATTTAATATATTAAAGCAATACATTATTTAAAAAATTCTCCTTGTAGTATATAGCTAAATACCATAATCAAGACAAGGCAAGGAAACAGGAAAAGATAATGCTATCTTGTAACAATAGCTCAGACTCAAGTTAAAATAATTTAATTAAATCTGAGAAAATGAGGATTGCTGGTTATTTCAATGTTTCTTAAAGAATGTGTCTCCACATGTCTTGTTTCTATATTTTCAAACTTGAGTGGTTAGTGCTGTATCCTCTAATTTATACAGAACTTTGTAGGAAAAGTGTACTGCTTCTTAGTAATTTGGTAGAATCTGAAAAATAGATTTTATTGGAGTCTGGAAGTTAATCCATGCAACTTTTCACCCATCCTTTCATTTTCTTCAGTTCTTGTGGAAGTTTTATATTTAAGCATTAAGAGTTGATAGTAGAAGAAGATGGGCTTTTGAAGCAAAATATCCCATTTCACTGAAAAGTTCCGATTTTTGTCTGCTTACTCTGAAATCTTTCTGAAGGAACTTTCCTGGCCAGGTTACCAAAACTCAAGCCAAAGTTCCTTGACAAGCTTTTTGTTACCAGATAAGAGTTGTTTCTGTCTGAGAAGTAGGTTCTTGAACAGACATGTAATAATTTGAATAAAGTTGGGAGAGGAAATTACTTCCTTTACTAAGCAGTCATTTTTATTAAATTGAGTCTCCTGCTATATAAAGTCCTTATTTTTGTTTGTTTTTAAAGTTCTTTGTTGCTCAGTGAGTGGGTAGATAGTTCTGGTAGGCTGCTTAAGCTATTTGCTAACAAAAGTATGTTTGTGAGACTTACTGCAGCATGTCACAAGGTTGTTTATCTTTAGAGTAGGAAAGATGTACTGAAACTTTGTGACTGTGTTTCATTGTGCTCCAAACAGAGAGAACACTGATTTAAACTAATTTTATATTAAATTTTGGTATGAGCAGAGTTAGAAAAACTTTCTGCTTAGTAACACCAATGAGTAGCTGATCGCTGAGAAATGTAAAACATCTAATGTTCAAGCATAAAAACTGTTAGAATTTGCTGCTCTTTTAAAATCATTGCATTAACCTATTATTCTGTTGAGATTCCTAATTACTTGCTAGATGAAATGCTTTGGGTACAGCTTCTAAAAGGTTTGTTAATTTCTGAACTGGAAAAGGGAAAAGTCTAGAACAGTGAGAATACCATCAGCAAGGCAAATGAGGAAATATTTAATGTGTAACCAGGAATCCTTTCTTCTACTTCAGTGTTTCATTAAATGTGCTGAACAGATACTTATCTGTAGAATATCTGGTTGTAAGGGTGTGTATCATTAGGAAGTTTCTCTGTTCTCTGAGACAGTCAGGTCTAGGATGACTGATGACCTTTTCTTAGATGGATCTTATGGCAGTGTATATTGTTGAATTCAAGACCAGACTAGGCTTCCACTTTTCTCAAGTGTAAAAACATTGATGGTGCATGAGCACCAAGGTGTTGATGAGGCTTTTAAAAAGTTGCTCTCTTATTAAATTATGGCAGGACTGATTCCCAGTCTCTTCTATAGTTTGAAAATGGAGTATGGAATTTCTAACCTAAGATTAGAGAAACCAGCTAAAGTGGTGTTAGTTCTGTGCTGTGCTGTTAGTTCTTCCTGTAAAGAAGATGGATTCTTGCAGCATGTAGCTTCTAACAAATAAAACAAATGTGTGCTATGTAGTATCAATAAACAAGGTTTACTTTTTCACTGAAATGGAAGAGTGTTTCTTTAGACATACTAAACTTAAGCCAAGTTTTCATTCTTTACCCTCTACTCTGTAGACTTGATATGTTAACATACAAACTTGCATTACTTAAAAAATGTAATTTAGATAATAATTTAGATGAGGGGAGTGAATTGCTGTTTGCAGTAAGAACCATCTAGATAATTAAACTTATTTTGAGCAAATTAACTTGAACTTCTGAGATCCAGATAATGATTTCTTGTAATGTTAATCTAACACCTGAGTTTAGAACTTGCTGAGAATTTGTTTCGAAATTAATGTTTCATGAGAAACTCGGCATCAGCTCAGGGTTGTCCCATTTTTGTTCCATCTTAGTCTTCATTTTTTCCACACAGATTCTGCACGTGTTCATCATTGACTCTCTCTTCAGCAAAATTAAATTTACAGTGTTTTATGTCCTGAATTTTCAAAATCTTGTGTTTATCAGACTGAAATACTGTTTTAAGTGTTGCTGAACTTCTTACAATACCTGTCTGTGGTGTGTTAAACAGGAAAAGGTTATTCTCCAGAGGGCTATCTAGATATCCAGCCAGTTTTGGCATGTAAGGAGTAGGTAGGTTCCATTTTTAATTTTGAACTGATGATATATAAGGTATGTATCTAGAACAGGAGTCATGAATTCCAAAGTCTGGCTGTGGAAGGCCTCAGATCACTACCTTGAAGGAGTGACTGCTGTTTTCACTGGAAGAGAAGCTATCAGCTACTTAGAAGAGGGTTACACAGAAACATTGGGAAGAGTAAAACTCATAAAATGTCTCTTCTAGCAATTTTTTTCCTCCGTATAACTTGGGGGGAAGAGAGTATGGCAGCCTCAGGGGGGAAAAGATAATTTAGCTTGTAAGTAATTCTAATTTTATTAAATTCTTAATGTACTACAACTTTTTAAATTATCAGTTC